ACGCACGCATATATGCGAATGTGTATACGCATGTGTGAACTTAGAATCGACCTTCATCGACCCGGTCATCGCGAGGAGAATACGAAGAGAGAAGAATGGCGAAAACCGATAATAAACGATTGATTGAGAAACGAAGAGGAACGTTCAAGTAAAAAGGATATCGCGGGACGGGAAAGGGAAAGCGCAAAGAAAAAAGAAGGAATGCACGGGCGATCCTCCTGGCTTTAACGATTTCGTGATCGCTCTAATCGATCGCCAGGTGTCCCGAGATAGAAATCTCGGGACCATCGAGAACGAGACGGACTTCCGGCATCGTTGATCCGGAACTTGGTACCACGCGAGGTCTTTCCGTTCTCTGCTGCGTCGAACTCGTCGAAGATCGTCGTCATCCGCAAATGACCAGTTTCCGGATTAAATCGTTGATGAGATTAGACCCGTCCATCGCGCGCGAAAGAAAACCGCGATCGATACACGTACCTTTATGACGGATTCCTGTTTAATTATCGAAAAAAGGAACGCGGCAGCGAGAGTGGCTACAGCAATATTTTCTCGCTATAATAGCGCTCTCTCTGTGTGTCGCACCATTATGATATTGCTATATTACTACAACTACAATATCGCGGCAAATGTGGGTTTGAACACGCAGGACCATAATGCGGTTACTATACTCATCCAGAGCCGCTAGTAATGGCTACTACAGCCATTAATCAGTGTAATAACTTAATTGTAATGGATGGTCGAAGGGATGAGATCTCTATCTTTCTCTCTCTCTAGTGCGTCGCGGATAAACATGAAATATTGCTGTCGCCGAAATTCCTCTTTATTCCATTCGTATCTCCAAATGTTAAGAGAATTACAAAAGCAATTTTTCGATAATCGCAGAATGTCGAGTAAATCAACGTCGATTCCTTGTGAGAAACAGTGTAACGATCCCGATTCGAAAAAAATCCACTGCATATTTGATGTAATAAGTATGGATAAAAAAAATTCGGTACAATAAATAGAAAGCGCGCAGCACGATAATTTTACATTAATATAGAAATAGAAATCGTACACAGTGTAACGTGTTGATTGAATTTCAGTTTATCATTCATCATTGTAACGTCGAGCAGAAACGACGAGAACGGGAAAGCCTGATAATTCTCGAGTCGATTGTTTCAGAGCGACCGGAAACAGCGTACATTTCCGGAAGAGGAAGAGGAGGATCGAGCCGTTTACTTCCTCGTTAGTGATGCCAGATCAAGAACGCACCATTTGTTCGATTCGTTTTTTATTAAAGAATCAGAAGTTAAAGAGAGAAGGTTGTCGTGCGCGCGCGCGTGTAAACATCCGAGAAAAAATTATTTTTTTTCATACAAGTTCGTTCTCTTCGCACTCGCTCGCTCTTTCCTTCCTTCTTGCGTATTCTTTATATTTTTTCTTTTTCTTTTTTTTTTTACTATTTTTTTAATTTTCTTGGTGAAAACTGTTTCCTTGGATCCGCCGCGAGAGATTTGATTTGGCTCGTACAAAATTAAGAGTTTAGAGTATCTGGCATCACCGAGGAACTATCGACGGAAAAATCTGATTTCTAATGTCGATGTTTACCGTCATAACGCGCGTTACATGCCTCTCATGCCACGTAACTTTTGTGTATAAATTGTTGGAATTCTCTGCAACAAGTATCACTCAAGTTTGGAATTGTTCGATAGAGTTATCTTCGATGATCTCGGTATCGTGTGATGCTTCTGAATTACATTTTTAGTCCGATTAAAAAAAGACTGAAAATATATCTCATTATTTACCAAAAAGCAAATGTAATCTATATTAAAGATCAAAGATAAAAAAAATATAATTGTAGGTACAGTTTTATCGAAATCCATTAGTATCAGAGTTAAACGCGATAACAATGACAGGAACAAGTTAATATTATGTATATTCATCTATGTATATAACCGTATGATTTTTGGGCAAAAAAAGTATTGATATTCATTAAAAATTAATTTTATTAACTGCATAAAAATTAATTGGATAAGTTTGTAAGTATCCTTAAAATCGCATCGAAAATGAAGGGATTAATTCTCTGACATTTCAAGATATAGAGTAATACTATCTATACTACTACTAATAATAATATTAATATTTTTGTAATACAGATATAGTTTCGAAGATATGAGCTCCTTGAAAAATTTTGCCTCTTACTGTATATTTATTAGAAAGAAAATCGTGCCCAAATAACATTAATATTTATCACTTTTATATATTAGATATAATTTTCTAGAAAATTAAATAATGCATCGGAATATTAATGCAAACAATGAAAATTTGGAAACACTATAATTTGACTATCTTGACCAGAACTATGTAATTATGTCATTGAAGAAAAAACTTCTTTTGTTGTTAATTAACATTTGTCATTGTTATTAATAAACTTGATGTTTATTATTAATAAACGCGCAACTCTTCACTATTTTGAAATCCTGCAAACAAATGAAATCATAGCAATGCTTTACGATCACTTTTATGGCACGACGTTTTGTCATGATTGACGCGTGATTATCGAGTTTGATCGAACGGGCATGAGAGGATCAAGTAACGCGAATCGATTATTAATCTTATTTGATAAGATCCACGCGAGCATTCAGGAAGCGTATAGTACAGAATATCTGACCTACCATCGATCTCAAACGTCAAACTTTAGAAAAACATGTGGAAACCGAGATAAAAAAAAAAGAACATTCGATCCTAAAACATATTCACTAGTATTGCGTGTAACAAGTACATCAGTTTAATTTATTAAAGATTAGTAAAAATGACTAATTATATATCTGTAAATTTATATTATTAATATATTTAAACGATTTTCAACCAATTACATTTGCTTGAAACAAAAGTTATTTCATATTGATCTTTTAAATCATTCGCGCAAGAACAGAACGAAATAAATGCTGAAATAGTCTTATTGGATAACAAATAACCAAATCTCGAATTATTCACAGTCTCTCGACTACCCGAATGCTCGCTGGAACAATTAGCGCGAGTGATTGAGTCGACCGGTAAAGGTACGCTCGCGCCGAACGTATTTTCCCGACAATTTGTAGTAGTAATTATCTAATTAGCTAGGCGTGCGACTCCGCGCTAAATAACGTACGCTATTATAACGGCTTGCTGGGGTTTCCATCCTGTTTTCAACTTGTCAAATTAAAGCATTTCATTCGCAAGGCAATCTCGATTCGTTCGCCGCTCGCGATGGCACTAATCGCTATTCACGGATCGTACCCTGATTCGCTAAATCCGCAATGATCGGCGCGCAAAATTACATATTATCAAATGACGTTATTTGATTATTTGCGGTTGGCAAGTCAGTTATTTTACAATTGTTTGCCAATCTGTCTTCGTTACAATCGATTGCAGAGCGGCGACGGTGTACAAGAAAAGAATGATTAGATTTATATATAGATAGATCTTTTCTTTTCTCGTAATTTAATATTCATATCTAATATTCATATCAACTCTTTGTCTCAACTCTTATTTTCTCTCTCTCTCTCTCACTTTTTGATTAGAGACCGATAGAATTTAATTTCCGTAAAATGTGTTTTCCTCTTATTATTTTACATCTTATATATAATCTAGCCACAAAAAATAGCGTTGCCTTTTTATTATACATATATTTTATACGAGTCTTATCGATTTTTCGCGGAGCGTCTGAATTCAGACGATCTTACAATCTGAGAAAGCAGAAAACTCCATATTGTAGCTTCTGATTAATGGACGAGGCAAGAATATTGTTAATTTCGAGGCCTTATTATATTATTATTATGATTATTATTATTATTATTCACCTGTCGCGAATCCAGTCAAGTCGACGTCGCTGTTCCAAAGCTTAATTACTAATTCGTATTTTATCTTTAATCCCGAATCTAATGTTATGAAAATCAACAGCAATTTTAATTTCTCGTATTATTTGTGATTTTCGTAGCTTTTCAATTTTTTTATTTGTTTAATCTAGAGGTATCTATATTTACTTACAATATATATATTTATGTATCTATCTCTCCAATGATAACTCTAATACACAGTCATAGACTAATTATGTACAATCACAACCAATTTAAAAAATATTTCGAAGCTTTTTATTTTGAGATCGCTTCATAGTAGACCGAATTTATCGGTCCTATCGAACACCATTCTTTTTTGCCAAATTAAATTATTTTAATTTTTATCCTTCCCTTTATTATTCAATGATTTGAGTTTCATCCAAGCGACGTCGATTCGAAAGATCCTCGAGTACGTATGTATATGTATGCGAGCGTATATATGCGCGATTTCCGCGTTTGGACGCACATCACCGGGATTATCCTAAAGACGCAAAAGGGTTCGCGCAATTCTCTCTCTCTCTCTCTCTCTCTCTCTCTTTTCCAGCCGTAATATAAACAAGGCAACATGTTTACCTTGGTACGAGGATGCGTGTGGGCACACACGCAAGGTGTACACGCCGTGCGCGCACGCACGCGCGCACGCATGCGCGCACACACACACACACACACACACGCATGACGAGCAAGTCCAGCGGCGAGTTAAGTCTCACGCGCAATGACGTTATATAATATGAGTGAAATTAGAAAATGTTGAGGAAGGCAAAGTTAATCGAAACAATCGCGATTTCCTTCGATTGTTTCGGGGCTTCCTTGTTTCTATCAGAACAACAAGTTTGCTCAAAGCTATTCTTAACTCGACTCTGGACGTATAGTTTTACATATACATAGTTTTACATTTTTACATCTTTTTTTTTTTCTATCAACGTGTACGTGAAATATGTATGTACATATATATGTCCGTCTCTATTTTCTCCCTGTCTCATTCTATCGTTTCTAGTCCCTGACATCCTCTAATTATGCATTCTTCTCCTTCGCCCGCTCGCGCGTAGTAGGACTTACTAAAGGATTAAAAATCGTATAACGGGTAATCTAGTAAACACTAAAGACGATAGTAGCATTCTTTAAATACACTTCTTCTTTCTGCGGCTGTGCTATTTTCCTTTAATTACCATGTAATTACGTTATAGCGTTCCATTAAGGCAATACATATATTAATAGAGAGATAAATTCATTAGTGTATGTCGCATTTCCTGTAGTAAAATATATAACAGCAATGTATAACGTGGACGTGTGTGTCCTCTCCATACCTTTCAAGAGATATATATGTATATATATTATAGTACACATAATTACATATCGACAGTGGATTTTAAAAGCGCTTGGTGAAAAATTGACTGTCTCGATCGACAACAAAAAACAATCGTAATGAGAGAAACTATTAACAGAAGGTAGATTTTAAGAGATTGAAGGACTCGACTTCTTCACCATGTCCGATTCACAGGATTCGAGAAATCAATCACGCAAATGAAATAATCGTTGAGGCTTGTATTCTAAGAAAAACCAACATTCCATTTTGCAGACTGGATCTAAATTAATATTTTATTTATGCTACTATTTTTAGAACAAGCATGATTTTATATTGTTTTTTTTTTTTTATAAATTTTGCAAATTTCTCTTAAAGTTTACAAAGAGTTTATAACTTTTATACATATATGTATATTTTTTCCCTCTCACAATTCATATTTTAAATCTATTTTAAGAATACACGCCTCGGTTATGATTAATGTTTCAATGTAAGAGCACTGTGTAATTTGCTCAAAAATGATTGAAAAGAGAAAACGTCAAGAGCCTTCATCTCACTCCGCGTTTTGCGTCTCGCATATATGGATTTTAATACGAGTTCTATATTGTGCGTTTATACGTCCGCGCGTGAATATGCGTGCGACATTCCTGGCTTGATTCTTATTTGCGTCTTGTTGATTTCGCGACGATCGGCACGCCTGTGTGCGCCGTATGAAAATATATTTACGTCTTTATGTTTCTCCTAAATACTATGACAATGCTGTCGATGCGATATTTTCTCTCCTTTTTTTCTCTCCCTTAATAATATGCAGCCTGAAGATCGCGGCACTGCCCTTAATATTATTATTATGTAACTGACGAGAATTATAATATATCTTACATTCCTATATGCGCATAATATGTATCAACTTTCATTTATCTCTGTACATGTATTAATTTACCTTTACATTTGACACAACGTACGAATTTATTAAAATATTACCGATATAAAAACAAGAAAAAAATTGATTCACATTTCTCGTACCCATTCTTCTTTTCCTCTTCGCTAATACGTTAAATTTTGAATAATGCACAATTTAATAACAGATTAGTTTTTGATTAACTGCAAGCTTGTCGAGGTTCTCGCGCACACATAGAGAACTAATAATGTATTTATTAATTTACGCTCCATATTATCTTTATTACCGTAGATATGATCACACATATTGGATGGTCTATACAAGTTGCAGTTAGTGTTCGTTTATCACTGAATCGTAATCAACGCGTCCTTGATAATGGCAGATAACCCTGAGACTTATCGCAGACGCGATTATAATTATTGCAAATTGGCATGTGTGTATTTCGGCTATCCGTCTAAATTTCTTCTTCGCAAATGCACATTGAAATCAATACATAAATACAATTAACACAAAACATTAACAAAGAAAAGAATGTGTTCTTCCTATATTCTAAATCTCGAATTTAAATTTAGACACATACACACGGCAAACACACGCGAATAATAATTGCCGAATTTCTCGCTCCTCTTTTTTAACATGTGAAACGGTTAAGTAAATAAATCACATATAAAAACAACACACGAATCAACAAAATTTAAATAACACATTAGTGCTAAAATATGATGCTGATACTGATTTTGAAGTTTCGGTTACTATCAGCCTTGCTTCTTACTACCACCTTGAATATTCTGCGAGCTAGTTGTGGTTTGTAACTATAATTCTTTCATCAGCTTCTATCTACTGCGTTTTTTGTTTTCTTTTTCCTAACAATACATTAACTTTCGGTTGCCACGAAACCAATGTACACACGTAGCAGATGACGGTATAAAAATCTTTTTACGTGATGTTAAGTCGAAATTTTGAAACAAGTCACCTATTTATTATACATCATTATTTGTTACACGTAAAACAAATATGGTTTGAAAGAAGGAAATAGTTTAGACAAGGGAATATTCGCTAAACATTATTCGCAAGTTTGTTCACGTCGCTATTTAAGAGCGATGGAAAGCGATGAGGAAGAAAGCAGAATGCGCTCGACGAATTCGCTACACCTTTTTACAGACAGCGGAAGGTTTAATTCTGACAACGGTCGACTCATCTCGGACTCATCGTGGATTAATTCCTCGACCGTTGAGCGCCGCGAGTGGCTCGGATGTGACGTAAAAGAGGAGACACGGTACGACGTTAATTTGCATTAAAGACCGTTATTAAAAGAGCTCGCTTGTAGGAGGCATTCATGATACGAAATCGCTAGTCACTGCGTAAATATCCTCCATCACGAGACACATCGGACCGCCAGTAACAAGTGTTTTCTTTTCATCAAAATATAATGAGATATAATAAATACAAATAATAAATGTACAAACGATCTGATCATATATATATATATATATATAACAATGATATTTCTACTATATATTCATCAATTTTTTTCCCCTCGTTCTACGTTACGCAGCATCCTACTTACATGTAGGATTTCGTCAAACTTTAGAATCGAGCCACAACACGGCGTATTAAATAATACGACAGCAATTTGCAACACCCCCACATCGATTGACGAAGGAAAGTTCCACCGTGCTAGAAGGATGCTTATCTCAAAAAATTCACGTTTGCGGAAAACCTTGGCGAGACGAGGCAAGGCGAGGCGGGGCAACGGTCGCGAAGCGCGGAATAGGTCGTCGCGGTGCGATCGAGCGTCAGCGGCCTCGATACGAGGCGTCCAGGAAAAGGGAGAAGGGACACGACGGTGGGACCCGGTGGTGGTAGTAGAGCGATAGGCGATAGAGGCACTCCGGCTGCGCCGGCGGCTGGATCTCCTTAGCATTAACACGCGATATACCTGAAAAACCAGTTTGCGGGCTTTTTATTAGGCCTTTACTTTCGCTCGCGAATTGAAAGTAAGAGTGAGCGAGCGAGGCAAACGAGGCCTGTTAGCGAGCGAGCTAACTAACGGGGTCACCAGTCGATACGGATACGCACGGAGGACACACGGGTGGGTACGCGCGGGTGTACGAGAGAAAGAGAAGGATTGGGGAGGAGAGAAAGAGAGGGTGAGAGAAAGAAAAAAAAAAAAAGAAGATAGAAATTCGTATGTAAGGGGTGTACACATGGTGGGCTGCATGTGTATATGTATATCCGTGTATACATATAGCCGCTTACACGCATATATCGGACAGACTCGAGCGCGACGTCGGCCTTCGTGTATGTATAACGTGCGTATACACACGCGGATATGCGTGAGCGCCCGGTTGAACCGTGCTCGAGACGTGCTCGGGCTCTATTAAATATTTACGATGTCTCATTAAAGAACGTTATGCAAACTGTTGCCCCGCGAAAGATCGGGCCCGTTAACGTCCAATGAATCGGCCGTTTTTCCAGGATATTAACGCGTTCGCGTCGTCTCTCTTCGATAATGCTCTAAGAAAATGATCTTCTCGAAAGTCACTCTTTATCTTTATACACGAATCGTGTCTCCGCTCAACGTATATACAGGGTAATTCCGAGTGATTCCGCCTCTTCGCTTCTATCTCGTACTCTCATCCGTCTCAATTCCCCTCCACCCCTCATGTCTTCTCTTCCTCCGAGATCATTGTCGTCATCATTCTTTTCTTTGTCTTATTTTGAACGACGCGCGCCGACGAGTTTCAGGCTGCAAAATCGTGTAAAACAGCATGGGATCTAAAGTTACTTTTCTGTATGCCGGATATCGTTAATAACTACAGTTTTTTTTTTTCAACGATAAATAATGCACGAGTAAATAAAGTGCTTTAAAAAAGATGTGACAGACACGGCAAATTTTTTTAAATAGGAGAGAACCAAAGTCTTTACGCTTACATGCGTATATAGATGTGGAATGAAACTATCATGTGAGCTACGCGATTGTGCGATTGTCGAGACAATGGTATGATAATGACGGATTTCAGAATGTATAAGGATACATTAACAATATTGAATATTGATTTTTGTTCTTGGGTTACTGCCACAAAGTACTTGAAATGTGTTTTATTCGCATACTTTTAAATTATTTAAATGTTTCCTGCTGTAATATAACGCAACTTTCAAATTATTTTGTAAGCTTCTGTAGAGATTACGCAATTATATTAAATTTTATAGAGAAAGAGAGACTTATAATCATCTCTCCTATTAAAAAGCGATTGCAGCCACATTTTTCTTGAAACGCCATCTTTTACTACTCATACAGTATTTATCGTCAAAGAAAAGCACGGTTGTGGTCAGACACGTCCAGTATACGTAGATATGCGAATGCACGCGTCTGTATGTGTATGTATGTGTGTATATGTACGATCGCCCGCGTTCTCGCAGAAATGAGAGAAAGAACGGCTCGCGTTTCCTTCTCGATCTGCGTGCACTCTCTGCTCGTCCTTTCTCTCTCTCTCTCTCTCTCTCTCTCTTCGGCGCACTCCGGTCGTGCCGCCGCTACATCTTCTCGAATTTAAATCTTATCACGTTATACACAGTATCTAAATGAAATGTGTTCACAGCCACACATTAATTATTTATACATAGAGATTTATACATATATCTGTATATTTAAATATATTTATATTTATATATATATATTTCTCCGTAGCCACACAAAAACCTTCCCACCGTTCTATTCCCTCCTCGTCTTTTCTATTCTCGCTCTGCTGATTATTCGGCATGCGATCGGTTCTGCGAGAGAAATGAAACAAAGTAAGAAAAAAAAAAGAGAAAAGAAAAATTGAAACAGAGGAGGCAGGGACGCTCGAATCGTAAATTGTAAAATCCTCATTTTTTTCGACTCTTCTTTTTCCTCCCTGTTTGTACAAAGTATCATGACATCTTCTCGCATCTTCCGGTTTTCTTTCAGCTTCTTCTCTAACACGGCGTCGTCCAGAATCCGCGTGGTACAAAGTCGACGTCCTTTCTGTCGACAACGATCGTTCTGGGACAATGCCGACATCTGTTCACTCAAAAATCGCGCTTCATCAATGTAAAACGGCACTCGTTCTGCTAATCTGAAGCCGTCTTGCCTTCTTGTTATGCTTCTTTTGTCCACTTTTAGTGCATCGGAGGAACGTTTTTTTTTTTCCGTCGCGTCTTCCTAATCCTCTCCGAACGTCTCCCGATCTGCCTTTTTTTTCTTTTTATTTTTAGGCACAACACATTGTTTCCAGAGTCTTTTATAGTCTTTTAATTGTAACGCCGCAATCGCGTAGCCGGCACCAGCGTTTGGTCCCAACCTCGCTGCAGCATTTGCCACTGAGAGTGTTTACAAGTGCCTAGAAAAGTAGCACTCGCGACGGAAGGCCGGAGACTCGCGATGAAGAAGCTCCGCATCACCTTGCCTATCATCGACGATATTATACATCCGCCGTCCGCGAACACGCTGCCTTCTCGATCCACTGTTTCGTTGTTCCTGCATCTGTCAATGATCATCCTCGGCGCTAAAGATTTCTATATCACTCCGTATCTAAAGCTTGCATCACTCCAACATCCATCCGATGAATGTCAACTGAGGAGGTTAGATTCTTTGACGTTAGAGTGATCGATATAGTCTTCCTCGTCCTCCACATTCAAGGGATCTTCGAAAGAATCATAAGCGCAACAGAGATCTTCGGGTTCTTTGAGAGGACAGCAAAGACCATAAGTGCAAAGGTAATAAATCCCGCACTCGTATTTCTGATACCAACCATGATTGTAGAAATTGAGGTGGTTGGGCTCATTAACGCCGCAACAATCGGGGACGATTTTGCTCGTCGTGGTAGTAGTAGTAGTGGTGGTGGTAGTAGTGGCGATAGCAATGGCGGTAGTAGTGGCAGCGTCTACAGATACGGCGTTATCGTCGATGCCGTCGCATCACGACGAACACGCCATCCAGTTGCAAGTGCATGTGTAGCACGCCGTCGTGGGTATCACGGGCGCGTAGTAATAACCGTTGGCATAAACATAGGTGGCAGGCGGACCCTGCGGCGCTTGTTGATGACTCGTTAATCGCTGCTGTTGCTCCTGGCAGAGCACCTGATAAGCAAGGTTCTGGATCAGGGAGAGCGTCTGCCGTCGCTCGTGGCCCATCAGACACACGGTCGATTCCTCGACAACGCTGTGCAGCAGCATCAGGTACTGGTACTTGAGAGCCTCCTCTTCGGGTCCGACAAAGTGATTCCACAAGTAGTTTTCAAGCTTAGAGCGCTGTTGTCCTATATCCGGGAAGTCGATAAAGAATCTCGAACACATATAACGTTCGAGGGTCTTGATGTAATCCGGCTGTGACGGTTTATACATCTTCACCAACAGGTTGCAGTACTTGAGCAGACCGCCGCCGCGTATCTCTTCGGGATGCCTCGTCGAAATAAGCTTCTTGTGCAGATGGTAGAGCGCCTCCTGGAAATCACCGTAGACGGATTCACCCACCACGGTCGGGTAAAAGTTCTCGGCGATCGGCAGCTTGCTGCATTCGTAAAACAGCAACAGAGAGTCGAGAACAATCTGGAAGGAATCGACGGAAAACTCAAACTGTCGCCTCATCGAGTCGACAAACTTGAGCTCGACATTCCGATGACCCCGGGAGTTGCCGAGGGAGATCAAAGACCATCGGTCACCATCGTTGTTCACCTTCACCATCTTGCTCACGTAGGCCTCCTTTAGGCTGCACGTGGTGATGCGTTTGCGGCTCACGCCTTCCGGCAGCAAGTCGAACAGGGAGCCGAGCACCGCGGCCTTGACCTTGTCGTAGTTACGGCCGCTAGACAATTCGACCGCGAAGATAAGGTCCAGGTCGTTATAGGGCTGGGATTCGGTGGCCAGCACGTGAGAGGCGGCACCGCCGTTCAACCGGATATCGCGTACCCTCATGCCGGCGCCCCCGTTGCTCGGATCGGTCTCTAGCTTGCTGCGCACCACCGTCACGAGATCCCTCAATCGCACTTCCAAAGTAGGGAAGTTTCCTCGACCGTGAATGCTGACGACTTCGTTCATCACGTCGTTTAGACGACGGACCTGCTCGAAGCTCAGCACCGCCAATCTCTGCTGAGGATCTGGGCAATCAGTGGCATTGTTGTTGCTATTGTTATTGTTATTATTGTGGGTATTGTTGTTGTTATTAGTGTTATTATTGTTGGTCTCGTTATTAACATCTCCATTGCTAAGGCCGTTGGTCTTACTGCCGTTCACTTGGCAGAGCGACTCCATCATAGCGACCCGACGCTGGCGTTCCTCGCCGATCTCCAGAGAGCCACACTGCAACAATTACAAAAAAAAACAAGATTTTTATAGAATTCTTCCTTGCAAACAATCACTCAATTATATAAATATATTATTAAAAATATAAATATATATTAAATATATATAAATAAGCTTTCAAAATAATTGT